CCGAAACGCGCGAGGAGCTGCGGCGCCGCCTGCTCGGCCTCATCGAGGACAGCCGTGTGATGATTTTCAGCAAGAGCTACTGTCCCCACAGCACGCGGGTAGGGGCCTCGTGCCCGGAGGGCGACAGAGTAGGGCGAGGCCGCGACCTCCTTCCGAGTCGCCCAGGGCCAGATGGGGTCTCTTGCGGGTGACCCGGCCGGGCCCAGCCCCAGCAGCCTTGGTGCCTTCGCACCCTAACATGAGGGTGCGAGAAGGCGGGGAGGGGACCCGAAGTCGGGTCATCCAGGCTCTGTTGCCTTCCGGGCCAGATAGGTAATGGGGCGTCATTTCAGGAGCAAACGTGTATTGTCAGGGCCCGGGTGAGAGGCAAAGCGTAGGAGTAGAGCCCTCTGGGCACGCGAGAGGCTTTGGGTTCCATCCCCCACCGAGAAAATTAAAAAAGCACTTAGAAATGAACCTTTCCATTCTAATCCACCTGTGATAGAGAGACTTTGAATACACATTATCAGAAAATTGAAAAATGAGACATGGAAGAGAATATTAGCCCAACTCTGGGGTCAAGCTCATGAAATTATAGGCTGTCATTTAGAAACTCAATGCTGACATCGATTACACATGCCTATATATATTCTTAAAACGTGTTCAAGAGTATTTACTGTAAAGAATAATAAGATGATGTTAATCACTTGGAAGTCTCCTGGGATATCTCCTGCCCCCACAGGATTAACTTCTGGCCAAAATTCCTTATTCTTATTTCGTTTCAACAAACACATTCACACACACACACACACACACACACACATAGTTAATTTTTGTTCTCTTTTTCTCTATGTTGGGACTTTCTGTAGATAGAATCTTTTGTAGTTTTTTTTTCCCCCTCAAGGATTATGTTAGACCAGAGAGTCATGCCTGTTAGTACCTGTAGCTGTGGCTCATTAATTTTTATTGCTGTGCTGTTCCCTAGGGTGAGTCCCACAGTTTATCATTTTGTTGTTTCTAGTGTGTGTGTGTGTGTGTGTGTGTGTGTGTGTGTGTTTTCATGAAAACAGTATGGCTGCGTACCTGTTATTGGCATATCTTACAGTGTACCTATGCAAGACTTATTCTAGGATAGACATCTTGAAGCTGTACTGCTGGGCCAGGAAAGATGCATGAAATCATCATTGCCAAGGTGACGCCCACACCTTTCTCCAAGTGGGTTTGCCTAGTTTGCCCTCACACCAGTGTATAACAGTTCCTCTTACTCTGTGTCCCTGCTGCCTGTTGATATTTTTGACTTTTGCCATCCTGGCAGTTATGGTATTTCCTTGTGGCTTGAATTTTGCATTTACCTGACGAACTTCACGTGTTTATGGACCACTTGAATTATCCTCTTCTTTGAAACATCCAGGTCCCCCCGCCCATTGAGATCCATTTTGTTGTGCGGATTTGTAGGTGTTCTTTATCTATTTTGGATACGAATCCTTCAGTTGCATAGTTTGGGAAATCTCCCAGATTTGACTATTCTTTTTGTTCTCTTTTCGAGATCTTCTGGTTCATTGAAATTTGCAACTTCATGTCACCAAACCTATCACTTTTTTATAAGCCAGCTTGTGCTTTTTGTGTCCCACTTAGGAAACCTATTTTCTCCTTATGGTCATGAAGATATTCTCCTGATTTAGCTGCTAGGAGTTTTATAGCGTGCTTCCACCCTTGAGTTCCTTAATCCCCCTGAAACTGGTGGAGGTGGTGAGTGCGGCTCCAGGTGATTTTTCTCTCTGATTTGGTTGCCACTCACTGTCTCACTTTCTGCAGAGCCCTTCTGCTGTGTGATAGTGAGCTTCCACTTCCCCTACAGCAGGTGCAGCCCTGGTTACAGGTTTAGCAGGACGCCTTGGCTGTGTTCTGCTGTCTGTCCCTGCTGGCATCCCATGCATGCTTCAGGCTTCTCAAGTTGCAGTCTGGTTACTCTTGTTCTTGACAGTGCCTTGGGTGTTCAGTGTTCTGTAGTTTGATCTGATTAAATCTAGGCAGGGATAATTTTTGAAGGAAGCTTTGAAGTTCACTGTGACCCTTTGAGGACCATTCTTAGCCTTGGCCCATCCCTTTCCCTCATTCTCTCTGCTAAATTGACTGGCAGGCTAATTTATCTTCTTGTCTCTAACGGAGCTATCAGCTTCATCTTCATTTCTTACCACAAAAATCTGCATTGTTTCCTTCCTTCCTTCCTTCCTTCCTTCCTTCCTTCCTTCCTTCCTTCCTTCCTTCCTTTCTTTGTTTTTTGAGACAAGTACTCACTGTGTACCTCAGGCTGGCCTTGAGCTCATTATATAGCCCAGTCTGGCCTGGAACTCACTATATATCTTAGGCCGACCTGGAATTCACTGAGATCCTTCTGCCTTAGCCTCCCAGATGCTGGGATTATAGGCTTGTGCCTGTCCATTGTTTCTGACAATATTTTTTAGGCTTGAACTTTCCCCTAGTCTGTTTCAGATAAAGTCTTTTCCTTTGGGAAGAGTTTTGGACCTGTTCTTATGATCTGCCTCTCCTATAGCAAAACCTCGGAGCCCTTGTTACAGAGCACGGGTGGGGACAGTGACCTGCTTAGAGTGACCCTCTTGCTTTATGATCAGGGCTCTAGAGAGGGATGGACACTTTTTTCTTGGCTTACCTTTCCCAGCCTGCAGCTTCACCTTGCAGGTGGCCTGATATGAAAGTGACCAGGGCCCCACTGTTTTGCCCTTAGTGCACTGGGGTAGAACCTTCAACCTCCTCCTGGAGGGTTGGATGGAAGAAAGGCACCCCTCTTTTGCTGACCACCTTCACTAGAAATGTAGCCTGCGTGACTCTGAGCTGGGGTGAGGGTTGGGTTGCTGGTGACCTGCTGTTGTGGTGAGCCATTGTTTGGGGGAGCTTGTCTGTTGGCCCCACTCATGTGAAGGGGAGCCCCCAGTAGTCTGAGGGAAGCTTGGGCTATATGTCACAACTGTGCCTGTATTCACATCTGTTGAATCCTTTTCAAAAGTGAAACAGGTACCTTTTTGTTACAGGTGAAAGAGCTCTTTTCTTCTTTGGGAGTCAACTATAATATCTTGGAACTTGATCAGATCGGTAAGTACACAGCATATCATGTTCTGTGTGATAAATGACAACAAGATTGACTTTTCTCCATTTACTTTGTTCAGTCCAATTTATTCTTGTCTCTTTGTGTTAGATGAGCCATTTTGTCTGTGTTTCACTGTGCAGAAAATGAACCTTTATATGACAAATAATTTGGTGGAGATTTCCTTATTTATATGTTTTTCCTATTTGAGGTAAGGGAGTGGGAGGAAGATATATAAGCTGCTAACTTGGAAGTATTTGAAATGTTTCAGATGTCTCTGCCATCTTTCTAGCAAAATAGATTGAGCTGTAATAAATGAAAGGAATCTGCTCCTATTTCCTGACTCTGTTATTCTCAGGGGAGCACATTCAGTTTGCAGCTTTGTACTTTTGACTCCTTGGCTTCCATGCCTGTGGTATTCACTGAATGCTACACTCAGGAGGCTCCGCAGGGGTGGTGGGGAAAAAATTGCCACCTGCCTGCCCAGCACTGACTTGCTTCATCCGGGTCACCTGGGGGAGTGAAATACTCTTGAGTACTCCCAAACCTTTGAGACCTTCGCAAGGGTCTCAAACAAGACAGCTTAACTAGTCATGACCCAGTTTTATTTCCAGAGATAGAGGCTAAAGTTTGGATTATGTGCATAAAAAATTTCTCAAATGGAATGGTAGGAAGTATTTTCTGAGTTCTTGCTGTTGCAATTTTATATTGATACAGTATTTACTTTATACAGAAGGCATAGTCATTGAGTTATATATCAAAAGCTCATTTGGAAAGGTTTATTTTAAAAGGAATCAATAGATTGGTCTCTATTTTTTAAGGCTTCCTCTGGAGGCACTGGTGTTTTTACATTTGAGTCATCACTGTGTAGTTGTAAAGCACACTGGCCTCTGTGGCTTGTGCACCTGTGAGCATTTGGGTGTTTCTGTACTCGCTTTAATTCACTCATGTTGGGAACCACTTACAGTGTCTTTATACAATTTTTTTATTCTTTAGATGATGGGGCCGGCATTCAGGAGATGCTAATAGAGATCACTAACCAGAAAACCGTGCCCAATATTTTTGTAAATAAAGTACACGTGGGTGGATGTGACCAAGCTTTCCAGGTAATCACAGTATACATTCTTCAATGCTGTCTGTTCATGTTTTGTTTCAAAAAATATTGGAAAGAGGAGAAGATGATTTTTAGGAGTCTGTTGATTTGCCTTTTAGAGGTTGTAAAACGCACATGTGTATAGGATTGTTGTCACATAATCTTGATTATTTCAAGAGAATGAGCTTTCCTACCAGCTGAACTTTGGAAGCTCAGAAGCTAAGAAGGAGAGTGTTCAGGTGAGAAGCCAGGCCAGGTGGGCAGGTCACCCCACAGACAGGCCAGCTCTCCTCCCTCAAGCAGGGAAAGAGAGGAAGGCTGTCCCTCAGAAATATGAGAGCAACACCAACACTGTGTCCAGGGTCACCAAATTCCAGTCAAAACTACTACCCGGGGATGTCTGGCTTTTAATATTTTGGTTCACAAACAGGAATCATTCTGTGAGGAGTGACAGAAAAAATTGATGTTTATTAAATAGAGTGCTTACTTGATAATTGGTTATTTACTTTTATTAAAATTCTGTTCTTTTGGATCCTTTATGTGTATGCGAATTTTAATAACGAGTGATTGAGTAAATACTTATTTTAATTAAGACTTATACTTTGGTTGGGAAAAAAGACTGTCTTTGTGGAATGTTCATCTATGATTAACCGTGTTATGCAGTAATGGCCTGCTTTATGAGTCCTGGAGACTCCTGCCTAGTGTGCAAATGGTAAGTGCTGTAATTATGGCCCCTGAACACTTTCTGAAGCAGCCAGTCCCCACCTGGAAAATGATGTCAGAGATCTGGAGATAAGAGGTGGCAAAGGTATTTCAAGGCTGAAAGGTTTTTCCTTGGTTAGCGATGGATTTCCCTAAGGGGTCCTAACAGCAAGGAGGCCCAGTGGAGTCCTTTTTAGGATGTCCTGAGAGCTATCTCAGACAGCAGTTCTTTTGGTGGTCACTTAGCACCTGGTGGGCCCTCGTTGCTACAGGGCATCTGCTCTACTTCACAGGAAGGGCTGATCGGAGCATGCTCTCATTTTCTAAAGCCAAGGTAAGGGGGCTGAGCAACTGATTTTGCATAAAGAACACTGTTGCTGAATCACTTATCAAACTCAGTGGTAGAATGCTTGGCTAACATGCACAAGACCCTAGGTTTGATCCCCAGCACTACCAGAGAGGGAGGGAGGGAGAGAGGACAGTGAACAAGAAAAACAAAAATAGCTGATTCCTAGCTCTGCATGCACATATAAAAATATCAAACTTCTACCTTGACTAAGCTGCTTCGTATCCCCAGGAGGACCATGGGAACCACCGACCATCATCGACTGCCAGCATTATAGCCATTGGTGAAAGAGAAACAAAAAGTTTGTGTTGTGTAGGAAGTCACCAGCACAGCTATAAAATTTAGATCTATTGAATAGAAATCAGGGGGAAAATTGCTGATAATGCCTAAGAATTGTTTTCCAGATGAAGACTAGCACAGAGAAACAAAGATCTTAAATGAGGCTTGGTTATTTGGCAGTATCTGAGTGATATTTTGATGTAAAAAAAATGATCTTGTATCAAACAGGGGCAAAGCCCGGACCCTGTGGGTCATTTGACATACACCTCACTTCCACGTAACAGGTCAAAGCAGGCCAAAGTCTGTGTACTTCAGAAAAAGGTCTAACTGGTGGACCCTGTTGGAGCCGCATCCAGATAAATTAATGATTCCAACTTAGACGATTTATCAATTGTAGGGTTTTTTAAATAAAAGAAATGCATGCTGATTGAACACTGAGTGGAGAGAAACAGTTTTAAAGCTATAAGTCACGTGTCCTCTGTCCTTTTGTAACCTGCGGGCGCATCAGAGTGGCTTGTTGCAGAAGCTCCTCCAGGAGTACTTGGCCTACGACTATGACCTCATTGTCATCGGGGGCGGTTCTGGCGGCCTCTCCTGTGCAAAGGTGTGGGCACGGGGTGAAACTCGGAGATGCCTTTTGAAAAGATTGTATTTTAGCTTCACAATCTAAGCTGGTTTAAATCGGGGAAAAGATCATGTTATTTCACAAACACAGGATGTTTTCGCTCAAGGGAGAGAAAAATCGGGAGCAAGAAAATGACAGGATGTGTTTATGCAGTTGCTTTCTTGCAGGAAGCTGCCAACTTGGGGAAGAAAGTCATGGTGCTAGACTTCGTGGTCCCATCACCGCGGGGCACAACCTGGGGTGAGCTGCTTTGCTTCCCTCTTCTCTGCTTTTTACCTGCATCGTTTGCTGGTATAATTTCATTTAATGCCCACAGCAAACTCAAGTGGCCAAGTAGCCTGTTCTGTAGATGAGGAGACTGAATCGAAGTTTAGAGTTAACAAGTGGTGACATTGAAAAGATAAAAGTAACTAAGGAAAATTTTACAAAAAGAAAAAAAAAATTCCAGGACCCTAACGTTCTACCTCTTGTGCCATGTTTTTGTTTTTTGTTTTTGTTTTCTTTTGGTACTGGGGATCAAACTTGATCTTAGCTGGGCGTGGTGGTGCATGCCTGTAATCTAATCCCAGCACTTGGGAGGCTGAAGCAGGAGGATCGCTGTGAGTTCGAGACCAGCATGGGCTACATAGTGAGTTCCAGTTCAGTCTCAACTACATAGTGAGACCCTGTCTCAAAAAACCAAAAAAAAAACAAACTAAAAAAACAAAACAAACTCGGGACCTTGCATGTGTATGGGTCCTGGTCCCCTAGGTTTGCCATGTATTTCACTTCAGTTTGACCAGGGAGTCTAAGGACTGCCTGCATGAGTGGAGTCAGGGTCTGGGCCAGCATGGTGTGGAGAGTGAGGAACATGGTGAGGGCACAGCCCGGACTGCTGTGTACAGTGGGCCAGCTTGGTCTGCTTGCTGTCTTCGCTGCTGTCCAGTAAAACAGAACATGGGTTTAGTGCTGGGTGTTTTCTGTGCATGCTTCATGTGCATTCTCCTTCTGTCTCTGTCCCAGAAGATGGATCAGGTGGCAGCCTCGCTGCCTTCCAATTTCCGGTGGGCTCAGCCAGTGTGAGTATTAGAGAGAGGGGAAAGTGGAGTTGGGTCCTTATTCTCCTGCCTTCCGCCCTGTCCAGTCACTTCCTGCTCCTCTGAAGGGCCACTTGTGTCAGAGGCTCCTCTGGGTCATGGCACTCAGTCACCTGGGGCTGCCAGTGGTCCCTGCTGACACCGGTTTGGGGACTGTTCTGGCCCTTTATGCCTATACCTTGCAATAATTTCTCCATGAAGTCTCTTCAGTTACTCAGCTTCAGTGTGGCTTCTCTTTTCTGCCAGATCCCGATGAATAAAATATCAAAATCTTTTGTTGTTGTTTTTGAGATAGAGTCTTACTATGTAGTCCAGGCAGGCCTTCAACTTACTGTGTAGCCCAGGCTGGGCTCAAACTCAGAATAATCCTCTAACCTCAGCCTGCTAAGTGCTGTGATTATAGGTGTGTGCCACCACACCCAGCTCAAAATCATTTTTAAAATCCCAAGCGAACTCAAAAACTTTTAACCTAGAATTTCATGTGGTAAAACAATCTACCCTGGTTTTTAATATTCTTGGAATGTCTGTACACTTGTATGTTTCTCCTCCTGCTACCCTGTTGCCTTTTTCTCCCTTTCCTGTCCAGACATCCTACTAGAAGCTGGCATCATAGAAGAGCCAGCAGCCAGAGAGGGAAGCCTGCTTCTGCCCTTCAGGGGGCAGGTTTGGGTTTTGCTCAGATCGGTTTGGGGTTGCTCAGATCCAGAGTAGATGTTACTAGGCAGCTTGCCAGGAACCCAGGAACCCAGCTGCCTCAGGGGCCAGCATTGCCAAGAGCAAGACCAGAAGCTGAGCTCCTGACCTTTGGGTATAGCTCAGAAACCTAATCCAGCCACATACCACTGTGGGCCAGATACAAGTGTCCCCCACACTACCCGTGCGCACATTCATGTTTTTGCCCATTGTTGGAGCTCCTCCACAGACTCCTGGTTATTCAAAAGTCTGACTGAATTATTTGCATCTTATTTGGGGGTGGGGCATCATCCCCACTCCCACCTGAGCTTGTCACCCCCTTGCATTTTAGTGATACTACGAGGTGTGGGAGTTGCACTACAGGCACATATAGAGCACCCTAAACTGTCCCATCTTCCTCAGGCCTGGGCGGTACCTGTGTGAACGTGGGCTGCATCCCTAAGAAGCTGATGCATCAGGCTGCCCTCCTAGGGCAGGCCTTGCATGACTCTAGGAAGTTCGGCTGGGAGTACAGTCAGCTAGGTGAGTGAAGACAGATCTGCAAGGAAGAGGTGTGACTTCTTTCGATGGAAACTTGTCAGTCACGGTTGATGGCAGATCTTGAAACTCCTCTGCCAGACATTCAGTAGGAGCTCACTGTGTGCCAGGCAGGTGTGGCTACCACAGAGATGGCCCGGCTGTTGTGGGCCTGGTCTAGGATGGGGTGGTCTCAAGCCCTAGGAATGTAGAAGATAGTGACTGTTTTCAGGTTTCCTTCGTGTATGAAGAAAACAGAGTAGCAAGGGCTTTTATCTGTTACCATGATAACATTTTGTGTTTATCAGTGGTTAAGTATCTCTTTGGTTAATGCAAAATAGAAAACAAATTCAGAGCTAAGCATTTATTGGCTGGGATCTGAGGGTGCAGAGGTGAGGATAGCATAGCTCCTGCCCAGAGCAGTACAGCCTGTCGGGAAGAGAAGAGGAAGTCTGTTTAGTGAAGTGTAATTCACTCAGCTGTTTGGCATTGACTTGAAGGGCACCTAGTGCACCCTCGAGGGTGGAGACAAGGTGACCCTTGAGTTTGAAGGCCACAGAGAAGTAGGACTCTGAGGACCCCAGTATGCAGATGTGAGAAAACGGTGCATCTGGGGGTCAGTGAGTGGCTGGCATGAGGAAAGGGAAAGGAGAGTTGGGAGAAAGGAGGTCAGCAAGGTAAGTGTCACAAGGGCCTTCCGCACTGCTTTAAGGGGCTAAAATTCACCCCAGAGGTAACAGAGCTGTTGAGTTGAAGTAGGAGAGGAGTGTGAGCTATAGTTAAGGTTTTGGATCCTCCGCTGGCACGTTGGGACACAGGATGGGAAGGAGGATGGAGGGTGGAGGGCCAGAGAGGACAGAGGCCTCACCAGGTCTACCATGGAGCCAGCTTTAGAGTCTCGGCTGGTGGAAAGCAGGGTTTGAGAAAAATGGAGATAGCGCTTTTGCAAATAAGAAGGGGAGGAATGGGAGGGGAAGGGGACAAAAAAAAAGAACTAAGATGTGTTATGTACATATACAAATTCCCCACAGAAAGTGTGATCATTAGGTACTGTAAATGTGTACTTAAAAAAAAATAGGAAAGAGACAGATGGTGAGCTTTTCAGTACCTTAGATAATGAGTCAGGAAAAGGAGGAAGTCAAGAGAGTTATCATAGAAGCCAAAGGGATTCACTTTCTCAGGGCAGGGTTTAGGACTTTAGAAGTCTAAAGAGAGACCCAGCTTGAGCCAGTGCTGCAGGGGGGCTCAATGGAGTCGGGCTTCGATGTAGACATTTTGCTTCAGCAGGTAGTTGAGGAGTTCGTTCTTTCTGTTTTTGAAGTAGTGGGGATTGAGCCTAGGGAGCGCACAGCTACATCCTCGGCACTTTTGCACATTCGGGTTAGAGACAGGGTCTCACTAAGTTGCCTCAAACTTTCAATCCCCCTCCTTCAACCTCCCTAAAGAGTCTTTTCATTCAGTCATTCGTTCGTTCATTCATTCATTTATTTATTTTAAATAAAAGTGTTTCTATACTGTTTTTCAAGTAGTTGACCCCAAGTGACATTTCTTAATCTATTTTCTGTTGCTCTGACAATACTGAGACTGGATAGTTTATAAAGAAAAGAGGCAGTCCAAGAATACAGTCTGGTGTCTTTCTGGCTTCCGGGGAGGGCAGGGGACATGCAGGGAAGAGACCAAGTACAGGGGTGGCTTCTGCTCTCATGGTCAGGAACCAGGCCAGCAAAGTCAGAGCTCACTCCTGGGAGAAAGGCCTGGACGCCTTCATTGACCCAGTCACCACCACAAAAGCAGCCAGGTTCCCCCTGGGTTCTGTTGTGTTCAGAGTACATTCAAACCCAGGAACCCTGTGGTCCTCCTGGCCAGAAAGACTGAGCAGGGCGGACTGTGCTCCTTCTCTGGCATTGAAGCCCACAGAGCGGACAGAGGCCTTCTTTGTGCTTGTCAGAACCATTGTGGTCCAGGTCCACCGAGGGCTGTGGGGCTTGTTAGCTCTGTGCGTTGTCACATCTCCTACCACGTAGGCACTGCGCTTCCACAAGGGACACCAGGACCTGTGCACACGCCATCCTCACTCCAGAGGCCTCAGCTGATGTTCCTAACTCTGCTACGTGCTCACTCAGTGTTTCTAAATACTTAGCACAGAAACCCAGAGTTGACTTGGAAAGCATTCATAGATGGGGAACTTGGGAGGAATATAGTTTTTTCAAGGGAGCCAAATTTTAGGGTTCTCAAAATTCTCTATAAATAAAATTCTTCTAAGTTAGTGTTGGCTGCTTACTAAGAAATACTTAGTTTGGGGCTGCTGCTTAGCATATGCAAGGCTCTGAGTTTGATCCTCAGGACCATGCAAACACAAAAGAGGAAGGAAGGCAGGCAGGCCCGACCGAACCTCCCCTGGAGTTTGGAGCATAGCAGTTTATAGGCATAGGCTCAGAAAATGATCAGAAGTGAAAAGAATCTGGGAGGTAAGAGAAAGGAAATAGACTGATGCTGCAATCTCACTCTAGAAGAATGTTTTAGATACTTCTACTCTTGATAGAGAAAAATATAGGTTAAAACAGGTTTAAAATACATAATGTCCAGAATAGAAGTTAAATGCAGAAACTACAGTAAAAGGTTAAAAGGAAAGGAAAAATGTACAGAGAATAGTTAGTAAAGCCAAAATAAGAAGAGAAGCAACATGACATTATAATTCCAGATAAACACAATGGCAACAGAAGATAAGAGCAATCGTATGATTTATAAGAATAAAACTGAATTAGGATAAAGTGAAATGGGTCAGATCATCAGGTTCAGTAAACAGCAAACTTCTTCCATGCACTGTTTATACATACATTCCTAACATCCCAAGAGAGCATTGTTGAAAATCTAAAAATTTTAAATTTTCAGCTAGTGATTTTAAAACTTCCTGTTTATTACTTTAAATATATGAGAAAGTTTTGACTAGAGGGGAGAAGATACACTGAGCAAATATAAATTAAAAGAATAGCCGGGTGTGGTGGCACACACCTGTAATCCCAGCACTCGGGAGGCTGAGGCAGGAGGCTCACTGTGAGTTCGAGACCAACCTGGGCTACGCAGTGAGTTCCAGGGCAGTCTGAATTATATAGTGAAACCCTGTCTCAAAAAACCAAGGGGTAAAAAATGAGAACCAAGACCTGTCATGTAAAGGTACAAGATCCCAATAATGAATGTAACCGTACTGTATACCTTAAATATACCAATAAACTCAATAAAAGAAAAAAAAAAGGAATAGCAGTTAAAACCAGATGAGCAGAATGTAAGCAAAGGCAAGCGAACAGCCAACCCAGAAATCCACAGGCCAAGGCTACCCCTACCTTCTGCACATAGAATTGGTAAACAAAATCTAGAGGATGGTGTTTGAGCTGCCGTAGTGGCATGTGCATGCCTGTAGTCCTAACACTTGGGAGGCTGAGGCACGAGGATCGCCACAATTTGAAGGCCAGCCTGGCCTACATAGTGAATTCAAGACCAGCCTGAGCTACATAGTAAGACCCTGTCTCAAAATATAAAAAATTAAATAGATAAATGAGAGTATGGTGTTTGAAAATATAAATAAAATGGGTGGACCTTGTAAATCCAATGAAGGAACCCAGAGGTAAGAAACTCCAGACACATATATAAAAGTACTGGTATGAGAAAAGAAATACCAGTTACGACAGGGAAGACACAGCACTCAATGTGCTTGTACAAATTAGTGCTGATAATTTAAATGTCTCAATGAAAAGAAATATCTTCTAGGAAAATAGGAATGATTAGAATGATGTAAATTATCAAAGGAAGTGAGTCTGAGAGCAACTAGATTCCCAAGACACCATAGCTTTACAAATCCATTTTCTCAAATAAATCTTCAAGGAATAGACTCTTCCTTTGTATTTTAAACTGTTGTAGAACTTTGAAAAAAATCAGAAAGTTCATCATTTTTCTTTTCTTTCTCTCTCTCTTTTTTTTAAGGTGGTCATAGCTAAGATACATAGTTTGAAAACAAAACTATACCCGTAAAGGTTCCAGGACTCTAGGACAGCTGTGTCCTACAGGTATGCGGGTCCCCGTGGGGTGGGTTCCCAGAGAGACAGACAAGTGCCTCGAATACCTTCACACTTTTTAGCAGTGCATGTGTTTGTTGCATGATGGGAAAAAGCCAGAGCATGTATTTAATGAGAACATGGAGTCTTGGTATTAAAGGCAGACGGGTGGGTGGCCCTTCTCTGGTGCAGGGCCTCTTGCCAGTGTGCACAGAGGATGCATAGGGAATTCAGGCATGCCTATCTGAAAAGCTATACACAGTTATATCCAGTATGCTTAGAGGATGTCAGAGATTAAACTAAGAAATAGAATTCGTGAGTTAAATTCATTGATTTAAAAATAAATGCTGTAAATCAAGACATGTCTTACCCTTCAGTATCACAAGCTGAAAAGTATGATGGAAGACTGAAACAAAAATGATAGAATGACTTGGAGGAATTTTTTTCTTTTGTGGTCCTCAGGATTGAACCGAGGGCCTTTGCACTCAAGCCATATTCCCCAGCCCTTTCTAAAAAGCTTTTGTTTTGAGACAGGGTCTCACGCAGTCAGTGGGTTGCCCCAGTTGGGCTCAAGCTTGCAATCCTCCTTCCACAGCCTCCCAGAGAGTGGGGATTACAGGCGTGCGCCACCGGGCCCAACCACTGCGTGGTTTTCAAATCAGTGGACAGTACGGCTCACGTGTGGTTGTGTGTAACTTGCCACCACAGGTAATACTCACTCCATGCTGACACCCTGGTTGTTTCTGTTCAGTGAAGCACAACTGGGAGACCATGACAGAAGCAATTCAGAACCACATCGGCTCTCTGAATTGGGGCTACAGGCTGTCCTTGAGAGAGAAAGGGGTGACCTACATCAATTCCTATGGAGAATTCGTGGGGCAGCATAAAATAAAGGTACTGTCTGAGTTTGCTGTCTTGGTCGTTGCCTTTCATATGTTTTTTCTCATCTGGAACTACAATTCCACGTTGCCAAGGGTAATAGCTACAGTACGCACAGCACACACAGAGTCAGCATGCACACACGTGTGTACATACAGCACATGACTGCACAGACTTGATTACACATGGCTGCTAATGTCAAGATGTTGCATTTTAAAGAACTTTTAAAGTTGTCTTGATTTTACTTCCATCTTAAAACACAGTGTTTAGACTAAAGATCAAAATGACTCAGAATTTTAGTAGTAGAATCCTTTTTTTAAGAGAGCCTTACTAAAACTCCAATACCTATTGTTTATAAAAGCATTGATAAAAGCAACTAGAATCTGAACTTGTTTATGCTTACACATTATAAGATCAATACATAAGGAAAGTGAGGTCATTTGATGAACGTAACATTTTTTAAATTGGAGTTATGAAAGACAGCTATTGTCCTCGCTTCTGGTATGTCATAGTTTGGTAATATCGTGGGAGGTGATCTTGACAAGGTTTTAAGTAATTTTGTAGTCAGCTGTTTGCTCAGCTGAGGAAGAGGTGAGGAGTCCGTGTGGAGCTGTGCCTTTAAGGCCTCAATGGGTCAGCTTAAATAACACCCCCCCAAGAGACACAGTGGAACTATGACCTAATCTTACTCCTCAGACAGTAACGCTCCTGGACAGACCATGGAACAGCCGGTCACGCCCCACCCGCCCTGCCTTGTCTGTCCAGTTGCTCAGCTGGACGCTGGTACTTCCCCGCCCCCAGCCTGCACTGGCTTGGCTCTTTTGGGGCCCTCCTAAGCAGACCCCTTCTCCAGGCTGCCCAGCCCTCCCTATCCCACCGATCAGCTTTGGACATGGCTGGTGTTTGAATTATTTATGTAAATATCTATTTTGAACTATTCATATAGTTGCAGAATACCAACAATCATCGCCACTTCCCCATAATCTGCATTTCTAGGATGGCGTGACAAGGCCTTCACATCTGGCTATAGTCTGTTTCCTTTCACAGGCAACACAACCCTGGTTTCCATCACTTCTGGCCACCTGCTTATTCCTGTACCCTGATTCCTTGTAGGCTGATGTATGCAACGCTCTCTCATCCCCAGCTTCCTTCTTCCCCAGTCATCTCCCTTCTCTCAGCTCCACGCCTTCTGTGAAGCCACCTTGACTGGCTTTCTAGACCGCTACCTCCACCCTGCTGTGGGGCTTTGCTTGCCATTTGGTAAAGATCTCTATTTTTTGCGGTGGTGCTTATTACATTGTGTGATAAGTTTTGCACACCTGTGATCAGTGTCAAATGAGAAGCCCCGAAAGTGTGGTAAACTGTTTTTCCACAGCGTCTGATACTCTCTAGTGTTTGTGGAATAAGTGAAGTTTGCTTTTCTTTTTTCAAGGCAACCAATAGAAAAGGACAGGAAACTTTTTACACTGCTGCAAAATTTGTCATAGCGACAGGGGAAAGGCCACGGTATTTAGGAATCCCAGGAGATAAAGAATACTGTGTTACCAGGTAAGATTAAAGAGAGTGTTTTAACTTTAATCAATGCATTATGTTTATTTCCACTTATTTTCTCCCTTCCTTGTTGTATAGAAGATTTGAATTGATGACAAATAAAAGTACAATGCAAGAAGTAACAAAGTTCAAGTAAGACAGAGAAAGTAAGGTTAAGTAAATAATGTGAGGGGTGAAATTTATGTACAAAAATATGCTCTGTTTCCAGATAGTTGCTGTAAATGGCCTGGGAATGTGCTAAATTTCCTCACGGTCAAAGAGAAGTAAATACAGTTAGCCTTCAGGTTAAGTGTCCCAGCATCAAGATGAGATTTCATGCAATTTTCCTGGGGTGGCCAAAAGCTATTGCTCAGTCAGCCACACTGACCTGCAAAGCTCCTGAGCAGCCCATGGTAATACAGGGCCTCTTCCCCACACACCACACTCACACACCTGCAAACTGCCATTTTGCTGATCAGTGGAGTCTAATGTTTTCAATTTTATTTACCCAATTTCTTCGTATCTAAGTTGACTGTGTAAAAGGTGCATGTCCTTCTGCACGTTCTGTCCACAGTAGACTCCATGATGAACTTCTAAGGTCAGTGGCCTTTTAGTGTTTCTTCGTTTATGTACCAAACTGCAGTTCTGCCAATAAAAGATCATTATACACTGAAACCTAGACAACTCATTTAATTTTCATTGCCTAGGTAATCCGTTTTTCATTTTTGTTTTTCAGCGATGATCTTTTTTCTCTGCCGTACTGCCCTGGGAAAACATTAGTAGTGGGCGCGTCTTATGTGGCCCTGGAATGCTCAGGGTTTCTCACGGGCTTTGGCTTAGATATCACGGTAATGGTGCGCTCTGTCCTTCTTCGTGGCTTTGATCAAGAGATGGCCGAGAAAGTGGGTTCCTACATGGAACAGCATGGTGTCAAGTTCTTAAGAAAATTTATACCTGTGATGGTGAGACCAAATGGAATTAGGAATTCCTTTTGCTTTCTTTCTCTTTAATTTCTCATTTTGCCCCTCCTTGCCACATTGCATTAGATAAACTACTTTATCTAGTAGTGTTAAAGGTCTCATACCCACCCCAATCTGTGGAATTGGCCTCCTTTGTCCCCACCCCCAACACTGGAGATGTCCTTGCTCTTTTCAGCCTTTTCTGACATTTTCAAGGACATCCCATCCTTAGCTGTCATCTTTTCCCTTTTCTCATTAGAATGTCTCAATGTTAAATAATTCCTCTATTCCCTTCTCACCAGTGCCCCACTTTTCTTTTCTCCTTTATGAAAACAAACCTCACCGTGCTTTGCCTGCTTTCTTGCTGACTCTCAGCTGCTTCCGTCTCTCCACCCACTGGAAGCCGCAGGTCAGGAAATCCAGCGTCTCTGCCTTTGATGTCCTGGGCTTCATAGCAGAGAGAGACACTGGCACTCAGATCCAGAGCCCCAGTCAGACGTCTCTCCTGGTCCCCACTCATTCCTAACAACTGCTGCTGCTTCAGTCTCTTGTGAACGTTACAAATTTAATATTACGAAGACAAAACTATTTTCTTTTTTTTTTCTTAAATTAATTTTATTGGTACATTTTAGATATACATAATTATAAAATTCCTCATAGGGGATTTGTACCTGTAATGATATATCTTGATTCTTCTTTTTCACCTCCCTTCCCTCCCTTCAACTCCTCTTTCCCTCCTTATTTACAAAGCTTTGTTTCCATTTTTTCAAAACTGTACTTTCTACTAGATATGTTCCTCAGCTCATCTTTCTGCCCCATCTCAGAACTCGATGAATGATACACAGTCTATGCAAGGTATTAAGGCAACACCTAGGAAGCCTCCCTTCATTTCTCCTTTGATTCAGCCTCCAGTCCCAGCCAATCCATTCATTCACTTCTGCCTCCACATCATAGTGTGTGACAGTTCTCTTCTCTCCTTCTGCCAGGTCCAAAGTCCCTGGCACCCTGTGCACCACCACACACACACAATACACACGTGCGCCCTTTGGCCCTTGGCCCATTTGCTTTTCGTCACTTAGATGGCACTGTCGCACCATTTATCCTTATTAGATTCAACAGTTGGAGAAAGGTTCTCCTGGGAAGCTGAAGGTATCCGCTAAATCCACGGAGGGAGCAGAAACGATTGAAGATGTGTATAACACAGTAAGTATTTCTTTTACAAGTAGGTAAGTAGGTGGACATACAAATGGACAGAGATTGAACCTATGGGAAAATTGTGTGAGGATTATTTTGATACTTTATAAAGGTGTAATAAGCATACAGGGTGCTTGTGTGCAGACACTGGGTTCTCAGTGATGAAGGAAGAACATCCTGGTAGAGTACACGTATGAATAACTGCACGTAAAATAAGCCTGTGAAGCACAAGTACTCAAGTGTTATTGGTGCTGGCTTCTGAGGAATTGGATATTTTATACATATGTTCATTTGAGAATTTTTGCAGTAAGTATTGAGTATATTTATAATTTTAAAAACAATGCATTTCTTTTTTTTTTAAACTGGGGATGGAACCTAGGGCCTTGCTCACACTAGGCAAGTGCTCTCACCGCTGAGTTATACCCCAGCCTTTTTTATTTTGAGACAGGGTCTCATTCTACCACCCAGGCCGACCTTCAACTTGCTGTCCTCCACTTCAGCTTCCAGAGTTGCTGGGGTCATAGCTATGCACCACTGTGCTCAGCTGCAACTGTTCTTTTTTAAAAACAAACAATACAAAAATCTTGAAACAGCGTGAATAGACTGGGACAATTTAATTGCCAGCATCTTTTTTGTAGTTATTTGGCAGAAACTATATACTTATTTTTATATACTCTTTATACATATATTTTTCCCTTAAAAAGAATAAATGTTATGTGGAGGATCAAAAATACATTATACCCTTCCCCTACCCGTAATAAAGGAAAAGAAAAAAATGTGAGATAATGAAAAGATGGAAATGTTTGTAGATGGGGAGGGGAGGAGAGGGTGAAGGGAGGGCAGGGACAAGGGGATAAAATGAGAACCAAGACTTGTCAAGTAGAGGTACAAGATCCTAACAATGAATGTAACTGTACTGTATCCCTAAAATGTACCAATAAACTCAATTAAAGCTGAAAAAAAATACATTATAAAAAGGGCAGGGGATTTAGCTCAGTGGTTCTGCTGCCTGCCTCACAAGCACAAGGTCCCAAGTTCAATCCCCAGTAAAACAACAACAACAACAAAAAAAAAATTTTAAAAACCCAACCCTGTTGAGATTTTGATTAGAATTGCAGTGATGTATGGATTGGTTGGAAACTGCTGACTTCTTTGCAGTTTCTGGTCTTTCATTCTTTTTGCTTATGATTCCCACCAGTTAGTCATTATCACTCTAGAGATGACGAGAACATCTTTTACATTTATTCCTGGTCATCCATGTAATTATAGATAGTTACAAATGGTATTATTTGAAAAATATTGTCTTCAACGGTTGCTGGTGTGTAGAAAAGCTGAATATTGTGCTGTTAGTAGTCAGTAGTTTGCTAAACTCCTATTTAATCATTTATAGATTATTTTGGATTTCCTCTGCGCATTCATGTTATTCATGCAAATAATGGCAGTTCTGTGTCCTCCTTTCTGCTGTAATTCTTGTTTTCTTGCCTAAGCACACTAGCTAGGACCTCCTGCACAGTGTTGAGAAGCGATGGCGGTAGTAAGCTCTCCTGTCTTGTTCACAGGGTTAAAGGGGAGTTTACTGTGTTTTCGTTTTCAAGAGTAGTATTCTCTCTAGGGTTTTAGTGGATGACCAGTTAGGGAAATTCTTTTCTAATTTTTGTTTGCTAAGTGGGTTTTTGTTTGTTTTGTTTCATTTCTCTTGAGATTATAAATGGATGTGCAGTTGAAGCAATGTTTCTTTTGAGTTATTGATGATCATTTTTTCTTTATTATATCAATGTGTTAATACCATACTGATTTTACAATACTCAGTCAACTTTATATCCCTGGTATAAACCCAACTTGGTTATGTTAGATTTAGTTACTTAGATTATTTATGAATCCTATTGGCTTTAATTTTCCTCTCACACACTCTTCTGGTGTTAAGTATCAAGGTTGTTCTTACTCATGAAGGAAGCTGAGATTATGTTTCTTCTGTTTTATTTTCTGGCATTATCTATGCAATATTAAAATTCATTTTTTTGTTTGTTAGAATTGACTGATGTAATCATCTAGGCCTAGAATTTTCTGTGGAGATATATTTAAGCAATGAGTCAACTTCTCTAATGATCAAAGGAGATTTAACATTTTCTATTTTTTTCTTGTGTTATTAATATATTAATAACATATAATATATTAATAAACATATATTAATATGTTTTTCTAGGACTTAGTCCATTTCACTTAAATTTTCAAATACATCACTATAAAGTTATTCATAATATCTAACTTTGCAAGTTATTTATTTTTGCAAAGAGGAATAATCTCAAAGTACCAAATGCACCGATCTCGGATGTCTGGTCAGCCAGCTCTGACACATGCACATCCTCACGCAGTCCCCACTCCCTCAGAGGCAGCAGCACATGTCTCTCTTTGCCCCTTCCCAGTCCCCAGCCCCAAGCATCCTGTTCTGATTCCACCCCCATGGACTGGTGTTGCTCATCCTCACCATCGCGTAAGCAGAACTGGACGGTCTGTGACCCTCAGTGTCTGGCTTCTTCTATTCAGGTGGATTTTTTTAGTATTCATCTATACTGTCCTGAGCATCAAGAGTTCTTTAACCTTAACCAGAGAAGCCATTTGGGACTGGAGTTTATTATAGAACTTTGTAAATTACGAATTCAGTTTCATTAATAGATAAAGGCTATGTTGGTTTGCTAGGGCTGTGCTAAGGTTTGGGTCTTAAATGTCCTCCCTGAAAGCCTATATATGAACCACTTAGTCCCCAGCTTGAGAGGTGGCAGAACTTGTAGGATCTAAGGCCTAATGGTAGGAAGCTAGGTGTGCCCTTGAAAGGGATACTGGGACCTGGGACCATTCCCATCTCTTTATGTTTCCGGGCTACCCCGAGGTAAACAGGCCTTCCCCACCATGCTCCCCATCAGGTACTGTGGCCCCACAGGAACAAGTGATGGGCCACATGGCTATGGACTGATACTGTCCTTGGCTTACAGACAGCTGCCTTTGTGTGTGTCCTCTCACAGTTGCCAATGCCTGAGTGTCAGATTACTTATCCTGGGTGAGGACTATGCTTGTTAGTTTCCCATCTTTATAACAGAAAAGCTGAGGGAATCATCTTCAGAAGAGGAAAGGGTTGTTGTGGCTCATAGTCTTGGCCCAGCTGCTCTTGGTGCTGTGGATTGGCAGCGATCATGGCAGGAGAAGCTGTTCAACTCACAGCAGCTGGGAAGCAAAAGAGAGGAAGGGAGACTGGGGTCCCACAGTGGCCCTGGAGGGCAGCTAGTGGACCCTACCTCTCAAAGTTTCTACCTCCTCCTATAGCATCACTGCCTGGGACCAGGCCAGTTGCAGAAGACCTTTTGGAGGATTCCAAACCATAGTGACCTCATCTGGCCTTAATTCCACTTTACACTTTATAGGCCCTGTCCCCAAACTCTGTCACAGTCTCATGCCCTGTGCGTTGGAGCTTCAACATATAAATTTTGAAGGACACAGATCAGCTCCTAACAGGCTTATTCAGACCTTTGTGTGTAGGATTGATAAGTTGTATTTTTCAAGGACTCTGTCACCTACACTGTCAAACTTACTGGCACAATTTGCCCTTAATATTTAATTATCACCCTTTTAATGTCTGAAAGATCTCTGGCGGCGTCCCCTCTTTTGCTCCTAAGGGGAGTGATTTGTGTTTTTCTATTTCTGTAAATGCAGGTTTTGTTAGCAGTTGGTCGTGACTCCTGTACGAGGAACATAGGCTTGGAGAAGATTGGTGTCAGCATCAGTGAGAGGTCGGTGTGGCGGGGGAGGCTGCACTGCACAAGGCAGGGTTTTCTGCACATTGTCTCAGAAGTTCTCACTTCTCTGCAAGACACAACATTTTAATGCTCTCAGTCAATCTCGCAATAAATTCTATGCCAACACTGCAGTCAACCAGTCAATCAGTAACTCTGTGTGCCTTAAAGAGCTCATACATTCAACAGAGATTTTTAAAAATGGTTGTGCTAGTGTGTTCACTTACTATGTGTGAATAGTTGTGTCTTTGGTCAGGCAAGGAGAAAATTCCAAAGCTGCAAGGTGACTAGGGAGTGGAAGGGAGCTGAGTTCATCCCAGGCAGCCAAGAAGTGTGCATGGTTTCACCAGACAAAGGTTTTCTGTTGGAGCTGCAGAAAGCCTTGTTGTCTTAACCATTGATTTGATAGGTTAATGATAACCCAAGGTGTTTGAATTCTTTAGACTAAGGTCTTTAGTCTTTTGGAGAACTGTTCACCGCTAGTACAGTTGGTCATGTTATACCTTTTTCTTTTTCTAAACCCTACTAGGAATGGCAAAATACCAGTCAATGATGTGGAGCAGACCAATGTCCCCCATGTCTATGCTATTGGGGACATTTTGGAGGGCAAGCCAGAGCTCACTCCAGTCGCCATACAGGCAGGCAAGCTACTAGCTCGCCGACTCTTTGGGGCCTCTTTAGAGAAGGTAAGCCTCTTAATATTGTTGCTAGGTGATTGTGAGCATAGGCACATGTTTGTGTGTATGTGTGTGCGAGTGTGTGTATGTGTGTGTATTCGTGTGCTGCTGGGGATTAAACTGCAGGCCTCATCTGTGCTAAGCAGGTGCTGTATCAGTGAGGTATACTCCCAGCCCTGAGATGATAATATCTTGATTAAAATTATGATATAAAAAAATCAGTACCAACAACACTGTGTTCTTGTTTTCCAAGTAAAGGGTTTGTCAGAGGTATAATTTGCATTTGACTTGCCATTTACTCATTATTGCAAGCAATAATGGGTTTCTACTGTGGACAAGATGTTATATGGGGTGATAGATGATCCTATGGCTCTAGCCCCAGGGCAATTCCAGTGGTGGGGGCCCCAAGTTGAACAGGCACAGAGGATGAGAAGATGAAACATAATTGCATGCTGGGGAGTGCCGTCAGCCAGTTGTTTTAGGGCCAGGGAAAGGGCAATTGGCTTCTAATTGAAAGGATGGAAAAGTGGCCAGTTGCATGTGACAGAGTGGAAGGCAGGCTTGGCACAGCTTGCAGGCCTGGCCTCTGTGCCTGCTCAGTGTGTGTACTTGGCAGCCAGTGGCCTTTCAAGACTTGGGTGTCATCATCTGCGAGGCTGGCGGTTTGCCTCAGATGATTACTACTTTACATATTCTTGGATCCAGTGCTTGGAATGGGCTCTGTAGGTTGAGCTCAGCAGTGAGAGAGCAGAGGACGTTCCTGGTTGGTGGGTGACTCAGGTCTCAGCAAGGAGGTGCAGTATGCTAGGCTGTGCCGAGGACTGAGCACTGTCTTGGAAGTGTCCCCCGAGGAGCTGATGCTCCAGGGGCACCGAGAACACCAGTGAGTTGGCAAGTGGGGGATGTCTGAGAAGGCCCTGCTAGCATTCACTGGAACATGAGGAGTACTGTGCCCCCAAGGAGGAGCCACCCCCTTCATTATGCTTTGGGTGTTTTGAGGTGAAAGAGATAGTAGGTGTGGAGAAAGTGTTTTGGGAGAAAGGGTGAAAGTTAAGCAATTTTCTGCTGATTTTTCTTCATTGATATGAGAGGAGAGAAAGCATAGACTTGGGCTCAGCAGCCAATCGGTCAGCAGGGCGGTGAGGAACCCAGGGCCCAAGGCAAGTCGGACACTGGTGCGACTTGCTCAGACGTTGATTTGTCAGCTTTGCCTCCCTGTGACAAAAGATTTGAGGTCATCAACTTAGAAGAAGAAAAGGTTTGTTTTGATTTCTGGTTTCAGTCACTGGGTCCATGGGCCTGTGGAGAGAGGTAGCATACATGGTGGGGGATGAGAAATGACAGCTACTCACCTCTTGGAGGTCCAGGGAGCAACAAGAGATGAAGGGTAAGAAAAGGTTTGTTTTGATTTCTGGTTTCAGTCACTGGGTCCATGGGCCTGTGGAGAGAGGTAGCATACATGGTGGGGGATGAGAAATGACAGCTACTCACCTCTTGGAGGTCCAGGGAGCAACAAGAGATGAAGGGCCTGAATCCTAGGGTTCCCCTCAAGGTCATGCCCCCCAGTGACCTAATTTTCTTTCTTTTTTTGGGGGGGGGGTACCGGGGATCGAACTCAGGACCTTGTGCTTATGAGGCAGGCGGTGACACCACTGAGCTAAAACAGGCCCACTGCTAAAGGGTCCACCCTCAGCAGCACCACTGGCTCCTATACATGGGCCTTTGGCTGACATTTCTGATCCAAGCCACAATAGCCATGTAGGATAGAAGGAAAATAGGCGCCTGGCCTACCATGGCCTGCACATGGGCCAGGGCAGCATGGGAAGAGCGCACGTGAGTTAACGACCCGAGGCTGATGGGGAAGCTACTCTGGTCCAGCAATCCCTTCCTAGATTTAGGGGTACCTGGTAGTGTGTTGTTTCTCTTTGGGGTGACAAACATGGCAGCTTGAGGGAGTTCATCCTTAGAGCCACAGCATTCATAGGCAGAATCACACAGATTTGGGCAGATCCAATCCCGTCAGCAGGGGTGGGGTGAAGACACAGTTCCAGAAGCAGTGTTGTCCTTTGAAGGGCTGTGGTGGGCACCCCCCCACACCTCTCGTGGTGTCACCACTAGAATTATCTAGGAGCCCCTTTCCCTCAGGTTGGCCTCTCCTCCAGGCCACTTGTAGTCCCACTTGCTCTCCTGCGGGAAGGGCTGCATGAACCTCGGAGCCAGTCTTCATGCCATGTCCATTTTGCCCTGACTCCATCTGATGGGGATCTGGTATCTTAAGATGCACTCTGCACCTTACACCCATGAGCCATCTCCTCTCATGGGAGGGGACAGAACTCAGCTGCGTGCCTGCATGGCCTCTCTGTTCACAATGGCACATGGAGAGTGGAATGGCCCAGGTAGCTCCATGGCTCATGCAGCCCTGCCTGGGGGAGAGCAAGTGGGACCACAAGTGACCTGGAAGAGGAGCCAACCTGAGGGACAGGGACCTCTAGACAGTTTCCAGTGACATGGCAGAACTCACGGTCACCAGGAAGTACTCCGGGAGGGCAAAGCCCAGACCAGCAGGATGGAAAGAAACGTTTTTGGAGATTCCCTGGGGCAACAGGACCTCCACCTCACCCCTACCTCCCGGATTTCAGCTTGTAGAGTCTGGACTTGGGAGAGCCGGTCCCTGGTGTTGATAGCTGGCCAGCGCCTGGCCCTGGCCTTGAGTACGGGGCAGTATAACTGAAAATGTCTCAGAGATTAATGATGTTGGGCCGGGTGTGGTGGTGCACACCTGTAATCCCTGCACTTAGAAGCCTGAGGAAGATTACCATGAGTTCATGAATTTGAGGTCAGCTTGAGCTACATAGTGAAACCCTAACTTAAAATAGCAAAAAGAAAAAAAGAAATTAGTGATATTGTAAGAGTCAGTTACACTGCACTGTACTCATTTGCTTTTTCTTTTATAAATATTTTTTGTGGATTTTTGCTGCAAAAGGTGTCACAAAATAAGAAAAATGTACTTTCTTATCTTTCAGTGTGATTATATTAATGTTCCAACCATAGTTTTTACCCCTCTGGAATATGGTTGCTGTGGATTATCTGAAGAGAAAGCTATTGAAGTCTATAAAAAAGAGAATCTGGAAGTAAGTTTGTGTTTTATTGTTGCCTTTTTAAGAATTACCCTTCTCATCAACTATTTCTCTTTGCAATCTTTTCTTAGGTCATCATTTTGCAAGTTTAATTGAAGAAATCATATTCTTATTTTAGGACAATTAGAAATTAATTTGAACTGTCTCTGTAGCAAACTAATAATAAGATTGCAGTCAGGGCAGAGGAAAGTAGAATGTCCGTAAGTTAGGACTTTGAGTTAGGAGGATCTATCTACTTGAGCAAGCTTGGGCCCAAGGAAGCAGAGCATCAGTTTAAGATCTTTAGGAATGTTGGGGTAGAAATGGATCCCAGCTAGGAAGAAGTAGAACTAGAGATTGAAAGGTGAGCTCACATTTTCTCTGACTTCTGGGGTTCATGAATCTGTGCATACATCTAGTTCATTCTTCTGTCTCTGCAGTGGATTTGATCAGCCAAAATATGGCCTTTCTTCTGCTTGCACATTTGTCCCGGAGCACTGGTCTTCAGGCACCTGGGCTCAGTGCTTTTCAGTTTTAGCTGGATGGCATGGGCTGGGTACCCTTCATTGCACTGGTGGCCAGCATCCTGTCACATCAGTGTGGCTCCAGGAGCCTGCACTGGTGATAGGCCCAGGGTGGCTGAGGTGGCAGCCCCCGGGGTGGTCTTCTGCTTTAGGCTATTCAGGTTCCCAAAGAGATGTCCTCTGCCCTGACCCTGTCCAATGTAGTAACCTCAAAAATAGCTTTTTACATCATACTTTGGTGGGTATTTTGGCCTTTTTCTGCTCACCCTCCCAACATAGAAGGAGAAATAAAGAGTTTGACAGTTATTATGTTTGATATTTTTATTTTTTAAGATGCTCAAGTTACAGTTTATTAAATCATACAGTATGAAATCAAGGAAGACATGAGGTGAGTTACCATACTTAGACTAGGTAACAAAGGGGAGGACCACACCACCTGAGTCTCTTATCCGAAGTTCACGGATCCTGTCTCTATCTGTGCTACATCAGGTGTCCCAACTGTTGATGTGATTTGAGTTGTGTGGCAGTGTCCAAAGCCACTGTGTTGGAGCTGTGGTATTGGGTAGAACCCTGTGGCCTGCAGGGAGGGCCTGATGGAGAGGCTTGTGCATTTCAGTGAACTTCCTTGTTTCTGGAGGTGCCAGACACTACCGTCCTGCAGCACTCATGTTCATGGTGTGGTTTGGTGTTGCCAGGGTGGCCGATAAAGACCCTGTCCTCCCACACAGAGTCTGTGCTCTTCAACTACCGATCTCTGCTTCTGATTCCAGAGAGGCCAACACAGAGGCTGCCACTCTTTGAGCTCTCAGAAGCTAAAGTGACAGTACTTGGGCTACTACCACCCCATGGGAGTTGGGCACATGAAGAAATCTTTGTCAGGCTATTGGCTGACCACAGAGAAAAAGAGCAAGATCCTCAGCAGCCACACACAACAATGAATGTATACTTTGCAAATGATTCTGAAAAATTCACACACAACACTGGTCCTCGACAAGCAAAGCTGAGCATTCCCTCAAGAGGGCATGTGTGACTTCCAGAGCTGCTGCATCCTGTCACCCAGCTGTTTAGCTCTCCATGAACAGCAGCAGAATCAGTGTATTAGTTTGCTCGGGCTGCCCAAACCACAAACTAATCAAGTGGTCTCCTCCCAGAGGGAGCCCAAATGTTGAAATTTTTAGTGAAAGACATTATATCAACTGCCTTAAATATGTTCAGTGAGCTATAGGAAACTATAGGCAAAGAACTAAAGGAATCAAGAGAACAATAAATGAACAAAACAAGAATATCAGTAAAGGGATAGAAATGACAAAAAACAATCAAACTCGGGCAAAAACTGTAACAATCAAAAAACTCAAAAGAAGGGTATCTTAGTGACTTTTCTCATTGCTGAGGCAAAATACTTGACCCTCAAATTTAGAGGAGGAAAGGTTTAATGTAGCTCACAGTTTGTAGATGTTTCAAATCATAGTTGGCTGGCTCTAAGTTGGATGGCATGGCAAAGGGGAATTGCAGTGAAGAAATAGTTCATAGTGGGCAGAAGGCAGCAAAGTAGCAAAGAAGCAGCAATCCACAAGCAATGACCCTCTTTCTGTCCCTGATACCTTATCCAGGCTACTTACCCTTAGGGTGGATAACATACTCAAGGTGGGGCACCCTTAATCCTAGCATCACACCATGAATCAGTCACAGCATTATATCCTTGACTCCACCCTCACACATCCTAGATCCAGCCACCTCCAAAAAAGACTCACCTATGACTACATGAGGTTTGGGGGGACATCTAGATGCAAGTCATAACAAAGGGCTTAAAAACCCATTGGAAGAGGCTGAAAAAGGATCAGCAAATTTGGAGATAAGGCAATGGAGCTGATCCAGTCTGAGGAACAGAGGAAAAAAGGATAAAGAAAAGTGGAAAGAGTCTGAGAGACCCAGGGGACACCAGAAAGCACCAGTGTGCACATGGTTGGGTCCCTGAAGGTGAAGAGAGAAGAGAGGGGGGCAGGAAAAGATTCAAATTAGTAAAATCATGTGTAAATACCAAATAGTTTCCCTGGTGTGAATATTCTGCAACAATGCATAAGATTCTAATAAGATTACTGACATTTAGAAATTTGAAGAAAGGAGCTAAAGGTGTAGGGAAGGTGTGATGCGTAGGGGAAGAACAAAAAGGGAAAAGAAAAAAATGTGAGAGAATGAAAAGATGAAAATAAAGTGTTTGTAGATGGGGAGGGGAGGAGGGGGTGAAGGGAGGGCAGAGGTAAGGGGAAAAAATGAGAATCAAGACTTGCCATGTAGAGGTACATGATCCCAACAATGAATGTAACTGTACTGTATCCCTAAAATGTACCAATAAACTCAATTAAAGCTGAAAAACAAAACAAAACAAAACAAAACAAAAAAACTCTTAATAAAATGGCCCAATTCTATAGTACATTTACATCATAAAGACCAGAATGCGAAAAATAAAATCAGTGCCCAAAAACAAAAAAAAAATAATGGCAAGAACACCCACAATTAATAAGAATCATGAACTCACTTACCCAGACAGCTCAGTGAGTACCAGGCCAGATGAACTCAGAGACCCACAGGGTTGCATGCTACAGGCCAACTGTCAGACTCCAGATACAGATTTTTGAGAGCAACAGAACAGCTGGTTTTTCATAAACCATAAATCATGCAGGCCAGACGGCAATGGGATAATATATTTAAGGTCTGGAGAGAAGAAATTGTCACCCCAAAATTCTTTATTCAGCCTTGAGAAATGAAGGGGAAATGAAAACATACCCAGAAAAACAAAGGTGGAGAGAGTTCAGTACCCACAGAACTGCCCTAAAGAAACACTAGAGTCCACTTGAGGCCCAGATAAACACAGCAGACAGCGACTGGAAGGTGCAAGAGACAGGAGCTCTCATGACACTGGCATCACACAGAAATGCAAAAGCCAGAGGTTTTGTCCTTTTGGTTTCCTTGGTAACTACTCTCCTTTACCTATATGATTTAAAAGGCAATGGGCCAGGGATTTAGCTCAGTGCTTCCGCTGCCTGCCTCACAAGCACAAGGACCCAAGTTCAATCCTCGTGTACCAAAAATAAAAATTTTAAAAGGCAAAAAAATTAAAGCAATAACTATAAATCTATGTTAATGAGCATATATTGTATGTAGATATAATCTGCAACAAGAATGTAGAGGGCTGAGGAGCAGAGATGTTGAAACTAAATTAATGTCATTCATACAGGATTACCACAAATTTAGAAGGATGATTATAATCCCCAAGGAAACCATGGGTGAAAGTAACTTTAAATATATACAGAAAAGGAAAGAAGAAGGGAATACAATATGGTACACTCCAAAAAGTAGGAATAAGTGTAGTAAGGGAGAAATTGAGCAACAAAATAGCTTTTTGTTACTATTTACATCTGTTTCTCTTTCCTTTTGTGCAGAGTGAATCTGTTTAAACAACATACAGATGAATCCTGATTTTTTAAAATCAAATGTGTTCAGAAAGCCTAATTAATTTACATTTACTGTGATTACTGATAAAGATTTACCTCTTTAAGGACTCCATCCAAAAATAACTATATTCAGAGCTATTTGGAGTAGATTTCAATAAATGAACTTGGTAGTGTGAGACACAGTTGAGTCCATAGCAGGACTAATAAGTGAATTTGCAAAATTGCAGGCTGTAAAGTTGACATACAAGGCAGTTGTGTTTTTATACATTTGCAATGAACTGTCCAAAAACAAGTGAAAAAATGATTGAATTTTTAATGGCATCAAAAAGAATAAAGTACTTAGTAATAACTTTAATCAAGGTGGTGAAGATATATATACACTGAAACTTAAAAACGACTGCTCAAAAAAGTTAAACCTAAATAAATGGAAAATATCTTGTCTTCATGGATTAGAAACTTAAATGTTAAAATACAGAACTAATTTAGGGTTAGGACTTAGAAAATTAAGTCTGTGACAAAACAAAATACTTTTTAACGCCATAGAAAATAAAAATGTACATGAGAGTAAAGCAATCATAGTTTACTGTATGACTCAGTTTTTCAAAACTTTTTACTGTTTTTCAAAAGTAGCTTTATTGAGGATGTTATTTATTTATTTATTTATTGGTACCAGGGATTGAACTCGGGTCCTTGCTTGGGCTTCCAGGGGGCTGCTCAGGCCTTGGTTTCAGAGTTCTGGGTTTCAGAACTGGGGAAAATAGATTTGTTTTAAGCTGAAAGTTTGTGGTGATTATTTAGGGCAGCCTTGGAAAGTTAGTACACTGTCCTAGTGGTATCCCATAGTGGTTTTGGTGTTTATTTCCCTATGACTAATGAATGTTGTTGAGCGTCTTACCATCTGCTTACTGGCCATTTGCATATCATCCTTGGAGAAATGTCATTAGGTCCTTTGTCCTCTTTAAAAATTGAGTTATTTTCCTTACATTTTTGTTGACTTTATTTATTTATTTTATTTTTTCCAGTGCCGAGGATTGAACTCAGGACCTGTGCTTGCCAGGCAGGCACCGGCACCACTGAGCTAAATCCCTGGCTATTTTCCTTTTTAATTGTTGACTTGTTAAAGTTCCTTTGCACACGTGTGTGTGGTGGTAGGGTTTGAACCCAAGATCTTGCACATGCTAAGCTCACTCTCCACCAAGTCACATTCCCATCCCAGGCTCTAAGGGGTCTTTGTGAATATCCCACGCACAAGTTCCTTTATCAAGCACGTTTTACAAAATATTTCCCAAGCTCGACATTGTCTTTTCACACTCTTGATGGTGTGCTTTAAGACACAAAAGTTTTTAGTCTTGAAGTACAATTTATCATTTTCATGACTTGTTTCTTGGCTGTCACATTTAAGAAACCAATGGCTAATCTGAAGCTAAGAAGGTACGTGTTTGTCTTCTGCGAGTGTTAGACATAGCCTTACCTCTTAGGTTTGGGTCTACGGCACCGTTCGTCTTTGTATATCATGGGACTATGTGAGGTTGGGAAAGAGCTACTCTTTTGAGTATGGCTTTCCACTGGTCTCTGAGTAGCTTTATGGAGTAAAGGAAACCCTGGGATTGTGTAGCTGGGAATATAACTGTGCTGAGACAGGAAGGGTGTTGAGAGGCTGATGCAGGCCAGGGAAGACAGATGGCTAGATCCTCCCCTTCCAGGGAGGCAAGTTAATAAACAAAGCCTAAAACAGGAAGTCGGGTGGAAACATATTTTTTTTTACATGAAGATAAACACAAAAATACAAGAATTGGATATGGGAGCCTCTGGGTAGGTTGAAGTGCTCAGAGGCAGAGATCATTGTCTTGCATAAAAGCTTTGAAAATAATGTCTAATTATTGTGCAGAACTTGCCAAAAATTAAAACAGTAAAAAATTATGAGCAGTAACTGGAAGACTGAGTGAAGAGAGTGGTAAGGGAGACAGCCCACCCAACGGAAGATTTATGACGCAGTCACAGCCATTACAGTTGTGCGGTGGAGGCACACGGGATAACACGAAGTCCAGAGCTGATCCGAATGATCACAGGATGGAATGCAGGAGCTGCTGTTGGTCAGTGGGAAAGGACAGCTCGACTACTGGAAGCTGTTGGAATAAGCGGGAGCAGGTTAAGCCGAGAACAGCTGGCTCTACACCTCACACCTGCTTTGAAGCAGGAGGCCAAAGGCTCAGTAGTGTCCTCAAAGTTAGAAAACAAGGCAGTGAGGGGAGATGGGAGGAGAGACAGGAGGAAGTCGGAGCACCCCTCCTTACTGTGCAGCAGGAACTCAGAGGAGAGCCTCACTGCTTCCAGAACCATACTGGAAGACTTTCTTTAACCTGAGAGGGGAATCTTTAGGGAATTGTGGAAAAGGAACATTTGTCTTCTCTTCCTAACAGTCAGAGGCTAAAAAGTTAGTATTCAAATGGGTGGAAGAGTTTCTCTTCTGTTAAATACAAGAACAATCTTTGTTACAAGGAAGTGTGCCCTGTTTTACCTTTTCAGTAACAGTGTCATCTTAGCTGTCACCAAACTTCCTCCCTAACCTGAAATGACTGTGTCCGGCTGGGATCGTGAGCGGTTTCAATCCACCTGCTGTGTATTACAGCTCCCAAATATACTTCTCTGTCACCAAGCATGGTTCACCGCCTTCTGTGTGGAGGGAGCGGTTGAGGGGGCGACCCGGGAGAACATCGTCATCCTGAGCAGGTGGAGGGGTGCACTGCGGTTGGGGTCCTCCACTGGCTGGGACTCGGCAGAAACATGTGGTGCACAGTCCCCGCTTCTGGGTGGCTCGAGTCACATGCTCCGCCTCTGAATGGCAGGCACAGTTGTCACAGCCGCTCTTCCTCCACTTGGAGTGGCTGTGTATCCTGCAGGCTGCGGCTCAGTCTTCACACCTTCAGCCCCCGCCCCTCCGGTCTAGTGTGCAGCAGTACTCTGTAAATGTTCAGAAATTGAATTAGGTCACGAGGGTTGTTTTTTGTACTGATGGCCAAGTGAGACCAAGCCAGGGCACTTGCGCAGGTGACATTTCAGGAGCTGTGGCTCAGATGCTCCCATCCCAGACCTCAAGTCAGCACCGTGGGCCTTTAAATCCCTGCAGGTTGTGTGAAGACCGCTGTCTTTGCAGGATGAAAGCACAGCAAGGAGCAGTCTTTGTGGATGTTAACCTTGGCCTTTCTTTCCCTCTTCTCCTGACCAGGTGTATCACACCTTGTTCTGGCCACTTGAATGGATGGTGGCTGGCAGAGACAACAACACTTGCTGCGCAAAGATCATCTGCAACAAGCTCGACAGCGTATGTAACATGGCTGCAGTCCTGTGTGTGCATTTACTTATATTTGGTGCTGAGTCTGGAAGCCAGAGCTTTGAATGTGCTAGGGAAGTGCTTTACCATGGAGCCACACCCCCAGCCCGACATATTGCAAATTAGAAAAAAAAGGTAGCCCTTGTTGGTAGGATTTGGAGTTCTGTCCTCTCGTCAGTGTTCTCAGGGAATGCATGCGCAGAGGCCCTCGGGCGGGCCGTCTTCAGGCCGATGGATATGTCCCTGGATGTTGACTCCACCGCAGGGTGATTCAGGCTGGATGCTTAGGGCAGGATGAGCATGGAGCTTGGGGTTGTCACCCAGTGCGGTGCCAGGTGTGTGTGCATGTGCGTGTGTGGTGGAAGCAGCTGGAGCTGTGTGGAAGCCCTTGGAAGATGCTCACTGAGTGGACCCCATTAGAGCAGCAGAGGGGGTGGTGACAGCTGTCCCTGAGGTGTGGGGACAGTGCCAGTGAGCCCCCTCCCAAGGCAGCTGGAAGTATGGCTTCGTGAAGAACTCCGGTGTATACAGACCATAGTGGAAAACCTAGTTTTTCTGTCTAAGGGTTTGCAATCTGGGGCTGGGTGGTGGAGCACCTGCCTGGCATGCATGTGGCCACAGGTCAGGCATGAAAACATTAGTATGCATAATGCACACAGCCAGGGTCGTGAGGACGAAACGAGATGGTGTCTCTGTGGGACTTGGTCCCGGGGAGCTGTACTTGTCCTCAGGGCAGTGATGGGGAGGCTGGTCTCAGTGGCTCTGACATGCTGCCCTATAGGAAAGGCTGGCTGCCCTCTCCCTGGGATCCTGGATGATGCCTACATTCTGATTCTTTGGGGAGAAGTCACAGGAGGCTGATGTTATGGCAGTGGTGGGAAGCCTACCTGCCTTTCTTCCTTCTTTGCTTTTTTTTTGGTACTGGGGATCGAACTTGGGACCTTGCATTTATGAAGCAGGCAGCAGAACCACTGAGCTGAATCCCCAGCCCCTTCCTTGCTTTTTCTTTCTTACCTTCCTTTCTCTCTCTCTCTCTCTCTCTGTCTCTCTCTCTCTGTCTCTCTCTCTCTCTCTCTTTTAAGACAGGATGGTCTCAAACTCACACCGATCCTCCTGCTTCAGCCTCCTGAATGCTGGGGTTACAGGCGTGCACCACTGTGCCTGCGGGGGCAGCCAGTTTGAAAGGAGTAGGGAAAGGCTGCCATCCACACTCCTGCCCTCTTGCCCTGAGAAGGTGGCTGAAAGGGACCTGCTGGGATGAGACCTGTAACCTCTTCAAGAGGTGATGGCCGTGGCTGCTAGCCAGGCAGTGCTCAGAGCCTATCCCTTCTGCCCCTCTGCTCTGTCCCCTGCCACCCCTCTGCTCACTCTCAGCTCCCACTAGGTCCCCAAGTTGTGACCTCAGACTTGCCACCAGCCACCAGAGAGAGGCAGAGTGCCCTGTCTCTCTTCTCCATCCAAGATTGTTTCCTGCCTGCTTTGCTTCCTTTCATCCTCCCTCCCCTCCCCCATCTTTTCTTCATGGGCTGGGACTTGAACCTGGGGCTTCACCTATGTGAGACAAGCTCCCTGCCCTGAGCCACACCCCCCACCAAAAGTATCCCTTCTTGGGTGTCACCCCCATATTTGTGATATGGAAACAATTTTAACTCTGCTGTGTGGAAAAAACTGCATACTTCCCGGGCAGAGCCCTGCCTTTGTTTTCAGTTTCCCGTGGAATCCTCACAGACGCCCCCTCCCAGTTTGCTGCACAGTGCAGCCCAGAATCCAACCCCACAGCCACCAGTGTCCCTGGGAGCTGCACTTCCACCCTGACGCCTTGGGATTATTCCGGTGTTGGACTTTAATTCAGAGTTACTGTGTTGTTGTTTCGCACTATCCCACATAATTCAGAAATTTACATCACCCTAATGAACTCCTTTATGCAGTGGGGAAATTGCTTGTTCTAGTAAATTTGAGTGCAAATTAACTCTGGCTGTGCATTTACTGGCTCATTTAACAGATTCCTGCCGTGGCTCACTCTCCTGGTAATATTCTCTGCTCACTTTCACGTTGGAGTTTTCCTTTCCTGAAGGAGAGGCTGTAAATCTTCACGGGCACTTGCAAGGGGGTGGGTTTCTCTTCAGACTGATAACCCACCAGATTCTCTGTTGTGTCCCTTCATTAAAGGATCGTGTGTTAGGGTTTCATGTTCTTGGACCAAATGCTGGCGAGATCACCCAAGGGTTTGCAGCAGCAATGAAATGTGGGCTCACAAAACAGCTGCTCGATGACACTGTTGGAATCCACCCTACGTGTGGAGAGGTAGGGAACAGGAGGTTTCTTCCCTTGGCTTCCGTTGGTGGTGTTTGAAAAAGCCATTATAAAGTGCATGTTAGAAAGACTTTTTATTAGTAGCAGTTATTTTATTTTTTGAGACAAAGTCTCGCTATGTAGTTCAGGCTGAATTCACTATGTAGCAGTCCTCCTGCATCAGCCTCCTGAGTGCTAGGATCACACTGTGCGCCACCACGCCTGGCTGTTTTGTATGTGTGTATATGCATGTGTATTAAGAGTAGGAAATATTTATTGAGGGAAAGAAAGCTGCTGTCTTAAGAGACAAAAGGGGGTCCAGAAAGTGAGTTGCCCGCTCACCCTAATTTTCACAGATGTTTTATACAGCAGAGCCATGTGGTGAGGCGCGTACAAAGTGGGACAAAACTGTAAACCCAATGGAAAATTACAAGATGGGCATGAGGTGGGGCAAAACCATCACCAACCAATAAGATTACAAGTATAGTCACCCAGGTAATATTGATTAAATGGTGGTCTAATGGGGAGGAAGTCATATAGCAAGGATATACAAAGATTTTCAGTAAGAGTGGGGGTCAGAGATATTTCTGGGAAAGACTGGGTTAAGAACTTGGCCCCCCACCCAGGTGACTGAAACCTATTTAGAATATCAATCACTGCTATTTATTCCCAGGGAAGCCCAAAGATATAGCAGTTTCTCTCCTTTTACAGTTCTGGCCACAGTGAATGTGTCTTCATTGTCCTCCATGTTGGCTCCTTGCTGTATCGGCTCCTTGAGGCAGGCCCTGTCTAAGTGCATTCCCCCCTATGAAGAAGTACCCCTGACTGCTGTGAGGGGGGAGAGGGCGAAGACAGCTGGGTCATAGTTGTGATCAACGGTTACAGTTACTCTACAGAGGGTCTATCTAAAGGCCTTCGGTAGGCACCTGGCATTGTCATGTTGGTAGCTGCATAGCTTTTAAATCTGGAGGAGACAAAGCCAAAGAAGCAGTTAAGAATGCATGGGCCAAATTATAGGGTCAGCAGGACTGCTATGAATATAACCAACAAAGAGGATAAGGAGAAGGTCCAGGGGACTTCAGAATCCAACACAGAAGTCATGAGCTGTTTACAAGGTCGATCTGGTGGATCCCAGTAAGAGTCTAGCACATTTGTCATTGGTTCCACTTGTATAACCATTTGGAGTTTGGCAGCCTCTAGGCAAGAATAAATAAAACTTTTAAGAAATTAGAGTATGCATAATCTAATCATGAGCGCACTAGAATGAAAGGGCAGGTTGGGGAGAAAGTCACACTTAGAAATTGAACCTGCTGGTCTTAGATTGTTTCACTGATAGAGGTTATCTGTAAGTCTCATACTTTGTCAAAAGTCTCTAGTTTTAGCTCTAAGATAAGAGACAATTTGAAGAATAAATTTTGCTAAGAAATATAAAACTCTAGCTGAGCTCTTATAGATTTTACCATAGTTTTTTCCTAATGATCCATAGCCATGGTCAGCTACTAGTAGAGCTGAAAACTGCCAGAAAGGGTCCATGACTGGAGCCCCTTTTTAAATCTACCTTTATTACTATGGCATTATTTTATACCTCTTTTGGGGTTTCCTTTTCTGTTGGGTGTTTATGACTAAGTTAAAGGGAGACCTGTGTCAATCAACATGAACCTCTTGCTATCTATCAAGGTCATTTAAGTCTCAGGCATTACTTTGGAACCATGCATAGAGCCTCTCAGCTCCTCTTTCAGTGTCAGCCATCAGGATGGGTCATGGCCTTTCTTGACCATGTTGCTTTCAGGAAAGCATGGGAGACTTTTCCCTCATGGTGACCCACCTCTGGCACACAAGTATAATTGTCCTCTTGTGTCCTGCAATCTCCGTGCTCAGGAGATTGAGTGACTTACCATAGATGTAGGACCCTGTAGGAAAGGTTCCTTTGTGTCCTGGATCTTATAGACCTTGAGGGGCCAAGGCCAAAATCCTGGCTGTCCTCATAGCCCAGTTACCTTTCTAGTTCTGGTCTCCAAACTTTAGTGTTGAACACCCAGATGACAAGATCAGTGACATTAGTAGTGCAGTAGGAGCAGTGAGCTTAACTATTATAATTTTATCCGGACATTAAGCACTTTGAAATATAAAGTATAGTTAGGGGGCTGTCATTTCTTATCAACTATGGTTGTTCTAGTAGTTTAATCGCTGCAGAATGTTAACAGACAACAGTTAATAAATTATAGAAACCTAAGATCAAGAGCCACACATAGTATTTTAGCATGAGATTCATAATGACATTTCCTTTGTAACAATGTCCATCTTAGTATGGAATAATCTTTCAGTTAAATACCTCTATCTGATCACAAGACATTAAATGACATAAAGAAAACTCTTATTTGTTATCCTTTAGTAGGATGCCATCTGAGGAGAACCTATATTGGCCTATAAATGTTCCTTAGAAATTCATAATGTCTAACCTCTAATTTTAGTGTATGACACTGTTTCGACTATTTGGCAACTGAGCATCCCTAAGCATGGTGACACATATACATCACATAAGTTTTTAAGAAAACCATTGTTTGTAGTTATCTCATGCTAGTTTGACATGTATCTCTTATCACAAGTAGCTGGAGCACAAGAGAAAGGCAGATACCTGAGTCAAAAAGATCACTACCATAAATATCCTAGAAGACTTATACATCTAGAAGGCATGAATATATATACCATGAAATAATAATGAGTAGCAGTTACATGAAACCCTTTATCCTTTAATTTTGTCTTGCACCAAGAGCATTTTAAATAAAACCTTATTGTTTTCCCATAGAAAACTTAGCCATTTGACCATGACCAATGTATACATATCACAGTAATATCTTTAGCAATGTATTTCTCACAAGGCTATGGAAGTTATTGGGATCCTCTTTGGGAACAAAGTTGGAATAATTTTTTTCCAGGCAGCTGCTCCTTCATTTACCAAGGGGAGTATTGCCCAGTAGTTTTCCTAAGCCCAAGAGTCTTTATTTAGTTATCTTAACAAAATTTTAGATGATCTATGAGAGCCAGATCATAACAATTAACACATTATTTTGGCCAATGAAAGATTGAGTTATTATACATAGACAACAATATTACTGTATTTGTAAAACCAGTTGACATTATTTGGATAATCTGGCAAGCATAGGTTTATAACTATAAATAAGACTAGTCAGAACTTTGTAGATCAATTAACAGAGATCTCTTGTAATAAGAATCAAAAGGAATAAAAATCTTCTACACCTGTGGAAGCAAAAACAGTTTTAAGATGGGCCCTAAGGTAACAGTTTATCTGGCTGGAACACCCAGATACACGGCTTCTCTTGGTTGCTGATAGACACATACAACTTTTCTCTAAAGGGACAGACTGTTACAAGTAAATTTAACTTTCTCCAGTGGGGTCCACTCAGGCCAGGGTTGTATGTAGAAGAGACCAGGCGACACTGCTCGGAGCTGAGTATGAATTCTACACAGTGAGGGAGGAAGGCCTGCCCAGGCTCCGACCTGCTGTGCTGCAGATGTCTGCCTATGGCCGTCTTTTATTTTGAAAAGAAACAAAGGGAAAGAAGGCATCTCTGACTCTCCCTCTTGTTCTTTGCCCAATCATCTAAGGTGTCTCTTAGACTTTAACTTGTCCAGTGCCAGTGGTAGCAGACTAGAGGTACAAGGAAGTGGCCAGAGCACAAGCAAGAATTTTTTTAAATTTTTTTTTATTTTTTAGTACCGGGGATTGATCGCTGGCCCTTGTGCTTGCGAGGCAGGTGGCAAAACCACTGAGCTAAATCCCCAGCCCAAGAATTTCTTCTTAATGTAAAGAAAATCTCAGCATAAAGATGATTTTGACCATTTTCTCTCTTTTACAGTATGATTCTAATTGTGAGATAGCATCATTGTACTTTCTCTGTGTACTTGGCTTTAGGAGGTAGGCACAGCACACGAGGTTGTAGAGAAACACGAAATTGTTCCTTAATACATTCCATAGGACTGCGAGGTTCAGATATGGGTTCCTAATCTGAAATGAGAAACAAAGATGGCATCCCATAAGTCTATGCTTGATTCCTGTGTCCCCTAGGGCGTCCCCAAAGCTTTATTCTACTCCGGGGTAGGTAGCTACCATTTGGAGAGTGACCCAGAAAATAAAACTGTACTGGACTATCTACCCTTTACCAGCGCTCCATCTTATCTTCCTCAGGTAACTCATATCCTTACTCCAGGAAGTACTCTCAAAGCACAAGTTACCATTGACTTCAGCTATAACAATCATTTTTAGAGAAGTATTGTTAGCAAACCAAGAAATTCAAACCACTGCTTTCTAGTTCCTTGAAAGAGAGAGAGGAAAATAGGGCACTTTTCCTGCAAAAGAGTTCACCTCCAGAGATACTAAGTCAGAGATTCTGACCTGGGTAGAGATTCTCCTAGAGTAGAGAAAGCTCTGAGAAATTTCTGTTTTCTATCCAGTCATTTAGGCAACTTTTATTAGCAGCAAGGCAAGGCTACTCCTTTAAGATCCATTTTAAATTCACTAAGTATGGAGAGCACAGCCATATTGACCTGTGATTCACCCAAGCAGTGTGGACATACCATCACCCATAGCAACAGGCTAGTTCAGCTGGTGGTCTGATCTGTTGCCTAGCAGATGTAACCCATAATAGTTGTTATTGTTTCCTTCTAGAATGTGTGGGCGGTACTCTCGCTCACGTGCAGCTGGAGAGTATAAAAGGAAAAGGTTCTGTAATAAAGCAAGCAAGGAACATGAGAAGAAAAGTGCCTCCCGTCTCTCTGTCCTCGTCCTTTCAGGTTTAGGACCTGCTGGCAGGATCCTGACGTCGCGGCTCACGACAAGTGGCACCCGAACAGGGACCTGAAAGTTGATGAGGATATGCAATCCCGGACCCAGGTCGAAGGCAGCGATGGTGCTCCGGAGGACTGACCGCTGTGCTTGATCCTCGCAGTAAGTCTACCGTTCACTTCGCGAAGAAAAAGTAAAAGAAGATAAG